GTTTTCCCCAAAATAAGACATCCCTTGATAATAAGCCCAATCAGGCTTTTGAGTGTATTGCAATAAGGCCAAGTGCCTTTTTCAGGGTTCAAAAAAATATACAGTAAGACAGGGTCTTATTTTTGGGAAAACACGGTAGAATGAAAAGAAGGATTAGGGGAGACATGATAGCAGTGTTTCAATATTTGAAGGGCTCCTACAAAGACGAGGAGGTCAATTTATTTGGGACCTTGGAGTGCTAGTGGACGATCACTTAAATATGAGCCAGCAGTGTGCGCAGGAGCCAAAAGAGCTCATACAATCCTTGGTTGTATAAAGAGAGGCATAGAATCAAAATCACATGAAGTAACACTTTATAAAGCCTTAGTAAGACCATACCTGGAGTACTGCATCCAGTTTTGATCACCACATTACAAAAAAGATGTTGAGACTTTGGAAAAAGTGCAGAGAGTACAAGTCGGATGATTAAAGGCTTGGAGACTAAAACATATGAAGAATGGTTGCAGGAACTGGGCATGGCTAGTCTAGAGATAAGAAGGACTACGGGTGACATGATAGCAGTATTCCAGTATTTGAGAGGCTGCCACAAAGAAGAAGGGGTCAACTTATTTTCCAAAGCACCAGAAGGTAAGGCAAGAAACAATGGATGGAAACTAATCAAGGAGAGTAGCAACCTGGAATTAAGGAGAAACTTCCTAACAGTGAGAACAATTAAACAGTGAAACAGCTTGCTTTCAGGAGCTGTGGGTGCTTCATTACCGGAGGTTTTTAAGAAGAAATTGGACAGTCACTTGTCTCAAATTGTATAGGGTCTCCTGCTTGAGCAGGGGGTTGGACTAGAAGACTTCCAAGGTTCCTTCCAGTTCTATTCTGATGGGGGAGGGAGCAGGGAGGTTGCAGATGTGAAGAGTGGGTTTTGCACAGGGTAGGACCGAACATTTACACACATCTTTTTGCTACCATGTCATGTAATAAATGCAAGAACACACAGTCCATCCAGGAAGAATGCCTTTAAAAGTCTCTTCTTTGAGGAAAAAAAATTTTTTTTTTCCATAAAACTGTGTGAGAGTTGAGAAAACAAAATATATTTTTCTTTGGAAAGCCCAAAATGTAATAGGAATGGATAGGTGAAGAGGAACTAAATTTTAATTCAGAACTGCATCTAATTCAAGTCCACGTCATTTTTTTTTTTTTTTGCTTGTTTTGCATGTTTTACATTTCCATTGCCATTTCCCATACATTTTATTACATTTCAGCTTTCCTAGGCTTGGACATATTTGGGGACACTTGAGGCAACCAGTCTCCATTTCACTCAATTAAATTGAGCTGCTTCTGCAATTTCAGCAAGTGCCCTCACAATTCTGAAAATAGTGCTGCCTCTATTACATTAGAAATGTGGTTTTTAAAAGAAAAAAAATCTGATTTGTCAGGAACATTATTTTTACATCTGTACGATTTCATTCTGTTTCTGTTTTCCCTTACATTGTGTACAACACAGCATTCACAAAATATAGCACCCTCCACCCCCCAAAAATTCTGTCATAGAAACATTTACACTTAACAAATGAAGTGTGTTGGTCTTTTCCTTTTCCTTTGTAGATCTCTAGAATATTATGAGGTAACATAAATATATATCCTGTCATTGTCCTTTTCCAAGACACAATTTTAGTCCATTAGAAGATTGTTGGTTAGCGATAGATACTTCAGTTATTTCTACATTGTTATCCTAATGAGCTTGGATTATTCGGCATTCAGTCTCCAAAATTAAATTAATTTTTATCAAGGTAATAATAGACAATCTTGTAATAATACTTTAAGGAGAGGTAGGGGCTGGATTTTTTTTTTTTTTTTTACTATTCCACATTGGAGAATAGATATTTTATAGAAGAGATCCTTGATACCTTTTCCCTTTTCTTTCCATCTTTTTTTTTAAACTGCTAAAAATAAAGAAAATAGTTTCCCTTATTATTCTTGGTTTGCCACACAACCTCATAACTTTCCTCCACATTCATCTTCTTGAGCTCAAACTGTCCGGGGTATTTTAGGAAAAATCAATATGCATTGGAATCTAATATTGCTTTCCATTGGGAGCTGGAGCAGGCCAATTATTTAGCGTATGGTACTGATTTAATGAAATGCTATGGTTGTGAATATGACTATATCTTAGCTAGAAAACCAAGCTCTGCTGTTTTCACACTACTTACTCATTTTCTATAAAGCTACATGGTGATATATTGAATTAAAACTTGTACTTGAAATCTACCTTCTCTTTCCCAAATAATGTAGCCAGGGAGCTAGAATCTAGAATGATAGGTGACACCTTCTTATTTATTTATCTATCAAATTTCAAGGCTGCTTTTTTTTAAAAAAAAGAAGAAGAAGACGAAGAAAGCTGACAGCTTCTGAATGTTTACCCAATCTCATTTTTTAAAAGAAAATATTTTCATGAGCCCTCAAACAGCTTTGTACTCTTTCTTCTTCCAGTGTAGGACTTATAATTAGATTGGGCATGTGCTTTATAGCTGATTCTGTTGATATTCATCCCCAGCATTAGAAGTAGAAAATCTTTGTGGTCAGGAGCCACACCTAACATTTTTGATGGGACTGAGAATCAATATATTTATGAACAGGTCTTCATGTTAAGAGTCTGTAGAGATTCTCAGTCATCCAGGTCATGGTTGTCCCAAATGTGCTTTTTCAGGAGGCAACTGGACTTTCTTGTTTTTTGTTTTGAAGACATTTTGCTTCTCATCCAAGAAGTTTCCTTAGTTCTGACAGGATAGTGGGGAATGGAAGGATTTATATTCCTTGCAGACAGCTGGTCGTTAGCATCCTATTAGAGCAGGGGTGTCAAACTCATGTCGTCATGTCGTTGTCACATGACGTATTGGGACTTTTTCCCCCTTCACTAAACCTGGTGTGGGCATGGCCAGCGCACGACGCATCCAACCCCTGGGCCGGGAGTTTGACAGCCCTGTTTAAGAGGGTCGTTGAAGCACTTGGAGGTTTATCTGTGTCCTCAGGGTCACTTGAATAGTGCTACTGGTTCCTGTAGTCTGCAATTTTTCTCTGGAAATCCATTCCTACTTCCATACCATTCAAAGGGTGTTCATCTCAAATTGTATAGCTAAAAGTCTGTAGAGATTCTCAGTCATCCAGGTCATGGTTGTCCCAAAGGTGCTTTTTCAGGAGGCAACTGGACTTCCTTGTTTTTTGTTTTGAAGACGTTTCGCTTCTCATCCGCGAAGCTTCTTCAGCTCTAATAGGTACTGGGAAGCACATAGGCAGTAAATTGTAATCCTTGAAAATCATTCATCGTAGCCATATCTAGCGACTCTTTATTCAATTTGTTATTAAAGTCATTAAAATCTAGTATGTCCAGAATGTGACTGGATAAGAAAAGCAAAAATATGCAAGGAATGTTTTGGTTTGCAAGTTTGTTGCAGTAGTCTCCTACAGTATATGTAGAACACCTTTTGAACACTTCAGGCCTCCCTTTGAATGATGCCTCTTGTGTGTGTGGGTCCAGGTGCAATTTTCCCCTTGTATCCCTACACCTCTAAAAATAATAATCTGTTGGCTGGAGGATATTAAAGGATGCTTTCTTTCTTCAAATGGTCAACTGGGCTGCATGAAAAGTGGCTTAATGGGCTATTGTGATCAAGGCGTGTGGTGGGGCAGTTGTTAGAATGCAGTATTGCAGATTAATTCTGCTGACTGCTAACTGTCAGCAGTTTGGCAGTTCAATTCTCACTGCCTCAAGGTTGACACAGCCTTCCATCTTTCCGAGGTTGGTAAAATGAGGACCATGATTTTTAGGTGCAATATGCTGACTCTGTAAACTGCTTACAGAGGACTGTAAAACACTGTGAAGCAGTATATAAGTCTAAGTGCTATTGCTATTGTGAATCAGCCAATGATGGGTTGTCCATTGTTCCTTTAAACTTTACCCAGTCAAGATGAACAACACAAAAGCTAAAGTATGCAGTATTGCTGTCACAGGTCTGGCATATTGCAGATGGGATGTTGTGCCCCTCAAATTTCTAGACATCATGTCCCAAGGCCAGGAGTTCTAGGAATTGTAGTCTGAATGTATCAGTCCTCCAGAGGCATTGAAACTACAATTTCCACAACTCCTTAAGTAATTGGGAAAAACTGAGCACAACAATATATCCCACACATATCCTCTTCAGATTTGTGACTTTCTCAGGGAGGCCTACTAATTCTTACTTAGATCCGGATACAATCCTTAATTTGCAGAATGATTCTATATTTCTTAGATTTCCCTAGATTTCCTCCTTTGCGAATGGCAGCAGAGAAAAAATAGAGTGGAGGACTGAAGTTACTTTTTTTTTTCTTTCCAAGTGCAAACCAACTCTGCATGTTAATGTGGCATTGGAACAAATAATTAATTTTTTGTATTTGCATATCTGATGACATTATGTTCATAAAAAGGACCAAAGAAGGTATTATCTTAACAAGGACTTTTGTTTTATCGTATGTGCAATATGGATAAACACATGCACAAAACCTAGAGTATCCTTTGTATAATTATATCTTGTTTCCGCCTCACCGCCGGAAATGTGGCCTTTTCTACTCCTTGGCCAAATGAATTGGTGCTTCTCTATATGTAGGGTTGGTCTTTTCCTTTGTATGTGAATTAACTCTGGAGCTGTATTGTATTTCTTCTACTAATATAATATTGTCCTACTGGTTGCCCCTGATTAAAGAAATACATAAATAAATAATTTATAATTTAATTAATAAGGTATAATATGCAAAGCACTGTAATTTCAAACAGCTTGTAACGTCTCTAATGTACTTTCAATTTTTTTTTTTTATTTTACATAAGGGCTATATTCATTATGTGGTTATGATAAACATACTAATGAATTTTATTACAGGAACAAATTTAAACATGTAAATGAGATCAAATAATATTAAAATGCAAACGACAGAGGGAAACTTATTGCAAACTAACCTTGCCAATGTACTCACAGGGATGGTGAAGAAGGAGATGGAAGAAAGCAGGACATGGAGTACAGAGGCCTGATAATATAGATGGTAAGTAAATACACATTGCACAGATGTCGCACAAAGCCTGTGAGCATCTTGAGCATCTTTTTAGTACCTTGGTGGGCTTCACTACTCCCTTTAGCATGGATTGTACTGTATTATCTTTGTGAGCTGTTTTGGTGCCTTTGGGGAATGCATTCTACAATACCAACCCTGCATTCCTATGCACACCTAAGTGGGATGTTTTACTGCTATTTTAATTAAACCCAAGAAAATACACTGACCGTTCTGATTGTTTTTTTCTCATAGACCCATATGTCTATCATTTTTTTTTCTGATTGAGAAACTCCTCCGTTCATTGGCATGTGATTTCTTTGTCCAGTCAACTTCAGAAGGATTTTTATGACTGTCACTATGGTGAATTGTGAATGACTCTTTGTTTGCAATCTTATCATTTTAACTGGGAGTAAATGCTATTAATTAGGGACGCGGTGGCTTAGTGTCTAAGACGCTGAGCTTGTCAATTGAAAGTTTGGCAGTTCAGCGGTTCGAATTCCTAGTGCCGCGTAATGGGGTGAGCTCCCATTACTTGTTCCAGCTTCTGCCAACGAAAGCATGTAAAAAAAATGCAAGTAGAAAAATAGGGACCACCTTTGGTGGGAAGGTAACAGTGTTCCATGTGCCATTGGCATTTAGTCATGCCGGCCACATTACCACGGAGACGTCTTCGGACAGCGCTGGCTCTTCGGCTTTGAAATGGAGATGAGCACCGCCTTCTAGAGTCGGGAATGACTAGCACATATGTGCGAGGGGAACCTTTACCTTTACCTAAATACTATTAAATACACCAGGTCAGGGTTTTGAGCATTTTACAAATGTTATTGGCATTGTTAGTACCATTAGAATGTTGCCTTTTCAGCAACGCCAATCCTTTCAAGCATAGGAAGCCATTCTTACTGGATCCTTTCTAGTTACAGTATTGTGTGTTATTTCAAGGTTTCCAATGCTCCCACTGCACCAATGCAGAGGGACTGAAGCATTTCACTATTAAGTCCAAATTAGTTATGCAAACATAGAGAGCACTGAGTGTGAAAATGTTAGTTTTTCAATGTTGTTCATGCTAAAGTGTAAGCTATATGGAGATGCAATTTAGAAGCCATAAATGAAAAGGAGGATGTAGAGTTGACATTCCAATTCCCATCATCCATGACTATTAACCATAGTTGTCACATGTTCCCTGTCTCTTATGTAGATTTAATCAATAAAGTTGTACTGCAGACAATTGAGAAATGGCCATGAAATACTGGGTGTTCCTTGATCAATTCTGTCACATTTTATAATCTTAGTCAAGCAAACCAGACTTTTGTTTTTATTTTGCTTGTTTTTCTTTAACTGAATCTTGCATTTGAGGGCAGAGCAGGTATCTGAGTTTGTTTGGAAATCATGAACTTATGATCATTTAAATACCAGTCTACACTGGAAGAGTGCTAATAACTGGTGGCACCAATACTGAGACCAACCCCATTTTTCAGGCTGAATCTTTATGTTATATATGAGCAACACAAGAAACCAAGGCTTCTTAACTTGACATTAAAGCCAGAGTAGGGAACTATGCTCTATAGAGTATGTAGACTTGTACAACATGTTGTCCAACCACCATGTCCCTGATCCACCATTAAACTGTACACAAGTAGTCCTTAACAATACTATATCTACATGGAGGAAAGTAAGCAGTCGGGTGCATCCAGTTTTGGTAATCACATTACAAAAAAGATGTCGACACTTTGGAAAAAGTGCAAAGAAGAGCAGCTAAGATGATTAAAGGCCTGGAGACTAAAACATATGAAGAATAGTTGCAGGATTTGGGTTAGGCTAGTCTAGAGAAAGAAGAACTAGGAGGGACAAGATAGCAGTATTTCAATATTTGAGAGGCTGCCACAAAGAGGAAGGGATCAATTTATTTTCCAAAGCACCAGAGGGCATGAAACAATGGTTGGAAACTAATCAGGGAGAGAAGCAACCTGGAATTAAGGAGAAACTTCCTAACAGTGAGGACAATTAACCAGTGGAACAGCTTGTGGTCATAAGTTGTGGATGCTTCATCACTGGAGGTTTTTAAGAAGAGACTAGACAGTCACTTGTGTGAAATGGTATAGGGTCTCCTGCTTGAGCATTGGGCTGGACTAGAAGACCTCCAAGGTCCCTTCCAACTCTGTTCTGATTGATTGATTGATTGATTTGATTGATTTGATTGATTGAATGAATAAAAAAAACCCTGTAAATTGGCATATTTTACCTGGATAGCACCATCAGTTGCAGAATTGTATTTATTTGTAGGAATCTTAGAGAGTCAACAAGAATCCTGGGGCATATTCATCTTTGATAAACAGATGCTTAGTATCTGGTTATGTCTCATTAGGACAGACTGGCAGCTACTATGTGAATAAACAACCTTCAGTGACAGCCATTATATCCATTCAGCCACTTAATTTCTGAAACTTCCAAACCCAACCTATGTTTATCTATGATCAAGGTCATGAAAAGGTTTTTTTAAAAAGCTGTCTAATTTTGTTTAACAAATACAATGTCCTATTGAGGGCTTATTTCATTCTGAAGACAACAAATAGCTTAAGGAAATTTCTCAATCCTGAGCTGGGCACATATTTTTTAAGACATAATAGGACTTTCCCATTTTCCTAAGGTTGTATTGTATATGTATATGTGTACACAGACACCCATATACACACATATATAACATAGGGCCCTAGTCTATTTGAAATTAACTAAAATCTATGGATTCTGCATAAATTTGGGTAACAATTGGATATCCCCCTTTCTTTCAGGTTCCAGTGAAGAGTAATCTGTGCATAATTACATTCAAATGAGATGTTAGCATTTTTTGTGCTTATTCTTTCTTAATTGCAGAGTTCACTCACCATGGTGATGCTTTTGATAGAATCAGGCAACCTTATTGACCTGATGCTGCAAGGCATGTTTGGAAATTCTGCTGTATTCTTCATTTTTTTTCTTGTATTTTGGCATTTTGAGGAGTCCCACTGCTTTTATTACATTCCTGACACTTTTGTTAATAAATCATTGCAAAGTTAATGAAAATTGCATTCAGGCATATCCAAAATAATTGTGTCCTTTGTCATGCTAATAAATTGAAAGATGTTGATCCAATGGCTGAATGCATGCCCATTATGGTGAAGTTTGTGATATGTTTGCCTGTTGCTCTTGTGCTTTTGGGCTTGAGAGATCAGTCTAGGAATAAAGTGTATGCTTAGCTTTGTGCTGAGTGCATGCGAGTGAAAGTGCACAAAGCCCCACAGGTCAACTCATCTTAGTCCAAATGTCATAAAATCAGCCCTTAATTATGTTTACCAATGAGAAAGGCTGCAGAACATGGGACATTAATGCTAAAGATCACCCATCAGAATCAGAACAGAGCTGGAAGGAATCTTGGAGGTTTTCTAGTCCAACCCCCTGCTCAATCAGGAGACCTTATACCATTTCAGATAGGTGGCTGTCCTGTCTTTTCTTAAAATCCTCCAGGGATGAAGCACCTACAACTTTTGAAGACAAGCTATTCCACTGGTTAATTGACCAACTGTTAGGAGATTTCTCCTTAATTCCAGGTTGCTTCTCTCCTTGATTAGTTTCCATCCATTGTTTCTTGTCTTGCCTTTTGGTGCTTTGGAAAATAACTTGACCCTCACTTTGTGACAGCCCCTCAAATACTGGAATACTGCTATCATGGCAACCCTAGTCCTTCTTTTCTATAGACTGGCATACCCAATTATTGTTACCATTCTTCATATGTTTTTGTCCCCAGATTCTTAATTATCTTAGTTGCTCTTCTTTGCACTTTTTCCAAAGTCTCAACATCTTTTTTTTAATGTGATGACCAAAACTGGACACAGTATTCAAGGTGTGGCCTTACTAAAAGCTTTATAAAGCGGTACTAATACTTCACGTGATTTTGATTCTATGCCTCTGTTTATACAACCAAGGATTGTATGAGCTCTTGTGGCTGCTGCTGCACACTGCTGACTCATATTTAAGCGATCATCCACTAGGACTCCAAGGTCCCTCTCATAGTTACTGTTTCTGACCCAGGTTTTGCCTAATCTGTACTTGTACCTTTGGTTTTTCCTGCTCAAGTATAAAACCTTGCTTTTCTCCACATTACATTTCATGTTGTTGGATAGGGCCCATTGTTCAAATCTGTCAAGTTCAGGATTTTTGGATCCTGAACTTGTCTTCTGGTGTATTGGCTATTCCTGCCAGGTTAGTGTCATCTGAAAATTTGATAAGTTCCCCTTCTATTCTCTCATCTAAGTTATTTATGAAGATATTGAGTACTGGGCCTAAGACGGAACCTTGTGGTACCCCACTGCTTCCTTCCTTCCATGTAGATGTAGTACCATTAAGGACTACTCATTGAGTATGGTTTGTCAGTCAGTTACAAATCTATCTAGTGATGACACTTTCTATCCCACATTTTTCTAGTTTACCAAGAAGTAGATTGTGGTCTATTTTGTCGAAAGCCTTGCTGAAGTATAAATTTGGCTGAGATTATAGTCAATCATTTTGGTTGAGAGTACAGACATGTAATCTATGCCTACTTTCTTCAGTGCCTTTTTGTTTTTTAACTAAAGGAAGCTTGATAGAGGAAATGGTAAGTGGGGGAAAGACCCAAGGTGGGAACTAATCTACTTCCTTTTTAGCTGCTTTTTCGCTAGTGCAAGAATACAAATATAAAGTGTGTGAAGAGCCAATCAAAACACTTGCCTGCAGAAAATAGTAGTGAGATTTCAGAAGCTGTTTAGAAGGAACAAGTTGGTTCAAAGGTGTGTGTGTGCATGTGAGTGCATGTGCATGTGCAGGCACATGCATATGTAGAATTACCTTTTTTCCACATTCATTTATTTCTGTTAAAAAGAAAACTCTCTGAAGTCATCAGTGTGGTTTTACCAGTGTTTGGTGTGGCTTTAATGGTGTTCTGGTCATTCTTTCTAGAGTGACAACATATTCATGTCAACTTC